ACTAAGGGCAAATGTATATTGTTTAGGCACTATAACGGCTTCTTTTAAGAACTACTTCACTTTATGAACAAATACCCTCGTTGTTTGTTTTAAACTGATCCAAATGTTTTGATTCCAAATGTTTCCTCTCTAGTGCCACAGATTAAAGCAGAGCCGGTTGAAGAATACCAATACGCACAGTTAGGCTGTACTGGGCATCCTATTATGGGTATCTCTCCTCCCTCTTACCATCTTGCAGACGGTTGCATGATGCCGGGTGGCCCGTCATACCAGCGGGCTCACTGCATGTACCCTGCTGCCCCACAACACGCACCCATGCGCTACCCGCTGGATCACACGGTGCCAGGACTTTTCACCGGCTCCACGGCTCACGCAGCAGGTCACGCAACCTCTGTGTCTACATTTGTGCCCAACACCTTCCAGCACACCGTAGCGGGAGACAGCTTCCAAACGGCCGCCTCTCTGTTTCCCACTCTCGATGTCTCAGAGCTCTGCTCCGTCGCGGCCCATCAGAAGGCATACGGCTCGAGGGCGTCCCCAACCACAGGGAGATCACCTCCGGCCCGTATCCATCAGCAGACATACCTGCCATTGCAGCACCAGAGAAACGTCAGTCCTGTGAGAGTCACCATCAAGCAGGAGAACCTGGATCAGGCCTATCTGGATGATGGTTTGTGCTCTTATCATTCAGTATATATACTGTTGTGCTTAATAGGGCTGCACGATAAATCGCATGCGACTTTCACGTGGAGCAGCATTTACTACACAGAGCCGTTGTTCACTGACAAGCTGCGCAAAACATGCGCAAAATATGATCGTGGTTTTGCGCAGCTTGTCAGTGAACAACGGCTCTGTGTAGTAAATGCTGCTCCATGTGAAAGCACGCACATGATGATTATTTACTGCTGATTACAGAACAGGCTTTACTGACAAGATGCGCATTAAATATCGCATGCGATTTATTGTGCGGCCCTAGTGCCTAACAGTGCTGAGTAGTAACTGATTACATGTAATCTGGATTAATCAGATTCCAAAAATTAGGTACTCGTAGATTATATTTTTTTAATATAATTTTTATTTTTAGATAAATTTATATGAGGTTATATTACATTCATAATCAGATTTGAGTTACATTTTTATGGATTACATCGTAGGAGTGGGCGATATGACCAAAATCTTATATCACAATATGAGTCATTTTATTTCACGGTAACGATATACTGTATATATCAAGAGAGAGTTATTTTGGCTTTAAGCCCAGGATACACTGCACGATTTTTGGCTGTCCCAGACGAAAGATTGCCATCGTGAAGCGATCGTAGCGATTTCTGTGATCGTGGCTCTTAATCGGTGGTCCTATGTCGTACAGTGAGAGAGGTTCAAAGACGGGCGTTTTCCCGGTCTTGCGACCAAAGATAGCCTACGATAGTTTACTGACAGTGTCAGAAATTCAGCTTGATCAGCGCACAGTGTGTTTGCTGCAACGACCTGCGTCTACTCAGCAGCCAATGAAATTGCAACATGAAATGACGTATTGATCCACGCGACCAGTGGCGCTACAATTTCAGTGCCATGGAGGCAAAAAAAGTAGAAGGTATACTGGTATGTGGGATACCCATAAAGAACAAATTCTTGTTGAGTTGTGGCAGCAGAGGGCATGTTTGTACGATGTGTCCTCTAGCTGCTATCATGACCGCACAAAAAAGGACATAGCATGGAAGGAGATCGCGGAGGAACTGCAGCTGCCAAGCTCCCTGTGCAAAACTGGCATCCCAAGTTGTCCTCTTTTCCCGAGCCATGAGAGGGTCCATATTGCCCTCTTCCGCCGGCGCCTCTTCTTTGTTTCAGCGCACATGAAAAGCACAACTGCCAAAGCGCGATCCATCTACGATTCAATAGGTGTCATCATCGTACAGTCTACATCAGGGATCCTCAAATCTGGCCCACGAGATCCACTTTCCTGCAGAGTTTAGCTCTAACCCTAATCAAACACACCTGAGCATGCTAATCAATATCTTCAGGATCATTAGAAAATCACAGGTAGGTGTGTTTGATCAGGGTTGGAGCTAAACTCTGCAGCGCATTGGCCCTCCAGGGCAAAATTTGAGGAACCCTGGTCTACATGCTTGTCGTACCCAAGTTTAAACGATCCATGTCACACAGTGTGATAAAGTAATGATCTTATAGGATTGCTAAAATCGTGCAGTGTATCCCAGGCTTTAAATAAGGCCATTATGATAGCAACATTTTTGATACCATAGAAATGTCATAATTCTTGTCACCAGTGGCACAAAAAACTAATACTAGCCTAAATAAAAAAACAACACTCACGCTCACTGAAGACAAGTAAATAGTCAGCGATTAAAAAAGAATAAGAAACTAATTATAAGCAATAGTACCAAAAAAAAACTACAGTAGAGAAAATAATTAAGAAATGCTACATACATTATATATTCTTCACTCTGTAAATTAAATATATATTTCTTCTTATCAAAGTTACAGAAGTTATTTAGTCAAGAGGACATGTAATACATGTAATAGATAATTCATGTAAATAAATTTGTGATCCATGCTTCTGAATTTGGGGGGAAAAGCACCTCTCAAGCAATAAGACCATATTTGAAACAAATAATTGTACAAATTACTAAACACTGTCTTCATCATATCCAGTGACTTCACAAATTGTTAATATTTGGAATTTTTTTCAGCCAAACTCCTTTGACAAAATATTTAGTTATCCCTGACAATAGATAAAGTTAGGTAAAAAGTAATCTAAAAAGTAATCAGAATATATTACCTAAAGTGAGTATCCTAGATTACATTACTAACTACAATTTTCATCATGTAATCCATAATCAGTCACAGATCACAATTTTTAACCTAGCACTGGTGCTTAATTCAAATAGTTGGTTTTCTGAAGTAAAAGTTTATTTTATATACATGGAAATTAATTGTTTACGATAACTAACAATAACATAAACCATTAAATACAGACGTACTGTGAGCTACAAGGTTGTGAAACAATGGTATATGCTTTTGTTGAAGCATCAGCCTGCACTATTTAAACATCTTTGTTTTTTAAATGATCAAGTATAACAGTGTCAATCCTGGTGAGTATCTACAGTTTTTAGTTTTAGGTGCTTTTATTTTTTTAAGTTATAGTTGTTGTTTTTTTTGACATCAAGATTTTAGTTTATATGATTTTTAGTTTATAAATTTATACGAGTGTATATGGGGAAAAGGTATTTTTTAGACACTATAATTTTAAGAACCACATTTAATTTTTAGTTTTGATTTTCATTGAATTATTAGATATTTATCAGTTAATATGAATCTAAATTATAACATGATTAGTTGTTGTTTCGGATGATTTGAGATGTGTGTTGTGTGTTTAATGTATGCGGCTCTTATCAGGCGGCTCTATATGGGTCAGTGCTTCAGTTCTGCCAGAGCCTGTTAAATATTGAACTCTAACAGACCTAAAACACACACAGGGACAAACAGGACACACCATCGATCTCCCAGGAAAGCATTCAATCACTAAATAAACTAAACGTATTCTTCATTCACCTAAAGCCTGGTGCAGCTGATATCGTGAGCCACATTTTAATAATATTACACCACAGATGTGTTTTTATTTGCGGTGGCGTTACAAAGAATCACACCCTCGCCTCGGCTTCTATTTCAGGCTGATTATACCTGTAAACGCTACCCCTCGTGTCCCCTAATCTAATTTTAGACGGAAAACTTTCCATTTTTAGCCCACAAATTTGTCTGAGCAGAACAACAGGAAGCACAACCAAATCAAGCATGAGAGGGTCGCGTGAGACTGTGTGCTGCCAGCTAGCAGACAGTCAGTGTATTGCAGCGTGTGATTGTGCCGCAGAGACTGCAGTGAGTGACTGACTGACCCCGCATTTCAGCTCGTCTGTGATGATGATGATGCACCATACAATGCCTTAAAAGTCTTGTTAGTAAGTTTTACGGTAGAGCAGGTGAAAATGGTGCATCTGATCACTTGGTAAAGTAGCAGCACGTAATTTGATATGTCATCTATGTTGTATTCTGAATAAAATATTGAAATTTGAAACTTCCACACCATTGCATTCTGTTTTTATTCACAATTTGTACAGTGTCCCAACTTTTTTGGAATCGGGTTTGTATATGAGCTGCTTAATTTCTAGCAATATTGTCGACATGATTGCAGACCCTTTTTGAAGTGCTATATACATGTGACCCTGAACCACAAAAGCAGTCATAAGTAGCACAGGTATATTTGTAGCAACAGCCAACAATACATTGTATGGGTCAAACTTTTTTTTTTTGCCAAAAATCATTAGGATATTAAGTAAAGATCATGTTCCATGAAGATATTTAGTAAATTTCCTACCATAAATATATCAAAACGTAATTTTTTATTAGCAATATGCATTGCCAAGACCTTCATTTGAACAACTTTAAAGATGATTTTCTCAATATTTAGATTTTTTTGCACCCTCAGATTCCAGATTTTCAAATAGTTGCATCTCAGCCAAATATTGTCCTATCCTAACAAACCACACATCAATGGAAAGCTATTTATTCAGCTTTCAGATGATGTATAAGTTTGTAAGTATTGTATTGTAAGTGCTGCTGAAGTGCAGATAAACTCATTTAAGAGAAAACGGCTTTTAAAGATGTATTGCTTTTTTAATCTACAGGCACACATAGATCAAGTGTGATGAAATAAACACTTCACATGTGTACTGAGGATGTTTTCTCTCCACTAGTCTGAAAGAAGACTTGTCATGGAAACCAAATAGCCCAAAATCTTAAAATTGACCAGAGCATAACAATAAAGCTTTTTGCCTGTAGTTTCTTGCTTAAAAGGCCTACGGTGCAATAACGTGTATGCCCCAAAAAGCCATCATAGTCATGGAAAAACATCTGAAGATATCCAACTTCAAGAACTGCTGTTTCAGAAAGACCTGATTCTATTTGGGGCCCTTTGACCGAAACAAGACAATACAGATATCTGTGACACTATGCTATCCGCACCTGTTCGTGGCTCTTGGATGTGGGTATGATTATTGCTAAAATACAGATGAGTTGAAAAATGGCCCCTAGAAATAATCCATAACGCAGGAGGCTCTCGTAGAAAGTGGGTTCAGGGACCTCCGGAGGAGAAAGATCCAGGTCTGCGGACATGCTGCGGAGCTGACTGAGAAAACAGCACAACATACACTCACATGGCATTACTGTAGCTCGCGCAGACCACTCAAAACCAACAGCAGTTTGATTACAGAGCGAGTGTGCAGTGCTACAATACCATCACACACAAACAAAACAAACCCATTACCTGCACATATAAATCGTAGCCTTTTCTGTGTTGTGGAAAATTGATGATTACTAAAAAAGACACGGCAGACTTTCAGATTTAGGAGAGGGATAAACACATCCGGGTTACGGCTAGAAGAGATGCATACGTATGGCGCTACTGGGCATGCGCACATCAATACGATACTAAAGTAGCTGGGCTTTGTCACGTGGTGTTACTTTTCTCAGCACAGAGCAGGATGGACCAATCACAGAGAAGCAAAGTTCACCGACTAAGTAACCGTTGTTTTTATCACAGAAAAAGAATTACTATACATTTCATTGCATGTTATATACTTATACTCATTATTATTATTATTATTATATCTTTTAAATAATTCATACAGATTTCAGGGACAGATTTCCATTTGTGTAAGGCATCTCTTCATGAAATAATAACGTGAAATAATCACTAGGAATCAAAAGCTACTAAAACAAAAACATGGCTACATATGACAAGTATCTATGTTTTTTTGGTTAAAATATGTGACAGTGGACTACAAAATCAGCCAAAAGTAGCAGGGGTATATTTGTAGCAATAGCCAACAATACATTGAATTGGGTGAAAATGATCGATTTTGTTGTTGTTGCCAAAACTCATTGATTAGGATATTAAATAAAGATCATGTTCCATGAAGATATCTTGTAAATTTCCTACCGTAAATATATCAAAACTTAGTTTTTGATTAGTAATATGCATTGCTAAGAACTTCATTCGGACAACTTTAAAGGCGATTTTCTCAATATTTAGATTTTTTTGCACCCTCAGATTCCAGATTTTCAAATAGCTAGTCGTATCTCAGCCAAATATTGCTCTATACCAGGGCTGCACAAACTCGGTCCTGGAGGGCCGGTGTCCTGCAGAGTTTAGCTCCAACTTGCCTCAACACACCTGCCTTCAAGTTTCTAGTATGCCTATAAGAGCTTGATTAGCTGCTTCAGGTGTGTTTAATTGGGGTTGGAGCTAAACTCTGCAGGACACCGGCCCTCCAGGACCCAGTTTGGGCACCTCTGCTCTATACTAACAAACCACACATCAATGGAAAGCTTATTTATTCAGATTTCAAATGATGTATAAGTCTCAATTTTAAAAAAATTGACCCTTACGACCCTTTTGTGTTCCAGGGTCACATTGTATTCTTAAAATAATCTTGGAGTACTAGAAAAAACCCACACATGTAATACTCATTCATGTTTAATTTCAAGGACTGACACATCACTCCAAACAAATACTATATTTAAAAGAACTTTATTTCCTATGATTAACTAATCGACAACTCATGGATAAATCTGCATGGATAAATTGGCATTGGTTTTCATCGAGGTTTTCACATCGGTTGTACAGGATGACAAGAAGCTACAAGAGCGGCCAGAGGAAAGGCTTTCTTTTTTCTTCATTGGCTGACGTGTTAGATCGTAGAAGGGGATTTCAAAGCATGCCAAAGCATCCACGAAAGGAATCGACAACACTGGAACCTCCACACCGGACGAACGCAAAAGGAAGGCATCAGTTCTTTGGGAGAGTCTTTAGATGGGATGGACAGGGAGTGTTAGGAGATGTTAGTAAGCGGAGATGTTGGCAGTATTGCATCGGGAAGGTCTTTGTGACTATATGGTCCGAATGCAACGAATGGAAAACTGTCTTAACACAGAGAGGGAAGGGGGCCAGTCGACTGGCATCCACAGTGTCCCAGGGAAGACTGGGATTTTGTTGCTTGCTCTGCAGAGGAACACCAGAGCCCTGATGTTTTTTCATTCACGTCCACAGAAGAAACATTAAGACATTATTCTACATTGGTCCTACTGAAAAAGTACAACACACAGAAGCAGACAAATATTCCTAAGCAGCTGTAGACAGTCCAAGGCTGTTCAACCGAGCAGAAAGTCATAGTAAAAGAAATGATTACATACAACTGACCGAACATTCAATGAAGGCATTAATTACCCATCCTGGCCTCTATGTATTTTGATTTAGACAAACATTCAGCTGCCCCCGTCTAAAACATGGAAATAAAATACTTCAGCAGTGCCATCTGATCAGTAATTTTCTAAAAATAGGAAAACAATCGATCATTATGTGAAAATATACAGCGCAGTTATTCAGAAAATCATACAGAATATTAAATTTACAAATAAATAACTAATCTATTGGGCTGGTTGTCAATTGCACACATATTGCATAATAAAGTCATGCCATTGTACACTTGGATCACCATAATTATGATAATACATCTCTTAATAATTTATTTGCAAGCAATTATGTGAATATGCTGTTTATTATGTAATCTCAAATGACTTCAGTTGTCGTACTATAAACACGAGGGCATCACTTTCATATCCTTTCAGTTATTGTGAGGAACTTCAAAACCAAAACCGTCTTTGAACAGACAGTTGCTCTCCCATCGTTTTGGCTCCAATGCATGAAGGTTAATATGATTGATATCTGTTGAGGTGTTTGTTTTGTCTGAAAACGATGAGCTCTTGCGAGGGCCCATGCATATGGCTTCTATAGTTTCAGCAAGTGGAGTATATTCTTTAGAATATTTTTGTTGGTGATTATGCGAAACAAACTGGCAGAGCGCGTATGGATGAGTGTGGGGTGTCATGCAGTGGCGGGTTGGTTAGTTAGTTGGTTAGTCAGGCTGAGATGTGAGAAGTTACTTCTTGGCATTAAGGGCAGCCAGAGCACCGTCGATGTCTTCCTCCGGTTGGAGGGGATGCCACTGGGCGATGGGGCGGCGCGGGTTGGCCAACATGTCAGACCAGTGCTTGATCGCTGTGCCTGTGGCTTTGCTGCCAATGAAGATCTTCCCAATGGCATCGTTTTTGCCGATCTTATCGTAGTCGAAGACCGTCACTGCCACTAGGATTTTCTAGAGAAAAACAGAAAATCGTTTAGCCAAACGTATTATAAAATCTGGTAGTAAAAACTGCATCAACTACTGTTCAATATATATTTAAGTTTTGAAGTTAATTAGTATTAATATTGCACAATATGTCTGTTTCTACTGTATGTTCAAGAACATGGGGTTAAGAAGATGTTTAAATCAAAATCAACCATTATTCTGGTAGAAATTGTTATAACATCATTTAGGAGGGAATTCGAAAAATGTAGTACATTATTTTATTACACCTGCACATCCAAAAAAACATTTTATTTTTTTTCCAGATGATTTATTGCGTTGGATACAATGTAGGCATATAAATGCTAATTATAACCATATTTTCTGGCGTTGTAATAAAATTAAATCCTTTTAAGGGAATGTCCATGAAATTGTAAAATATGTATTGGATATTAAATTTCCATTTACTTTTAAAGGTGACATATCATGAAAATCTGACTTTTCCAGGTTGTAAGTGCTATAATCAGGTCCCTGGTGCATCTACCAACCAAGGAAACGTGAAAAAGATTAACCCAGTAACTTTGTTTTGGGAAGCCTTTTTCTGCAAGCGTCTGAGAAAACGAGCGCGTCTGATTTCGCTCCCTTGGTGATGTGGCAAAGGCATCTCATTATAATATTACCGCCCCTTAATCTGTACGTTTACACCCACGACGCCGTAATTTTGATTTCGCAAGTGACAACGGTGCACCAGCTCTAAAGCCATGGCGAAGGTTTGAGCAGAACATGCTAACTGTTCTGTCTTTGGCTGCAGAGACAAGCTCAGAACACTATTTACAGTCCCAGCCTCCGAGGAGACATGAGAGCAGTGGATTTATTTACTGTAAATTGCTGCTGCCACACAGATCTAAAATAAACAAGTGATTTATTTCCCACTGTACGTTTACACCCACGACGCCGTAATTTTGATTTCGCAAGCGACAACGGTGCACCAGCTCTAAAGCCATGGCGAAGGTTTGAGCAGAACATGCTAACTGTTCTGTCTTTGGCTGCAGAGACGAGCACAGAGCACTATTTACAGTCCCAGCCTCCGAGGAGACATGAGAGCAGTGGATTTATTGATTTATTTACTGTAAATTGCTGCTGCCACACAGATCTAAAATAAACAAGTGATTTATTTCCCAGCTGTTTACCTGCACAGACATAACCGAATCTTTTTTGTAACTCGTGTGTTTTTAACGTAAACTTGTGTGTGAATGAGAACTTAGTTTAGTACTCACATGCTGTGACAGCCGCTTTCTGTGCGTGTGCTTCGGATGTGTACGCTCAGAAAACCATATATCAGAAGTTTAAACTCGGTTTAAAAAGGATAAACATGATGATCAGAACCATAACAGATGTTTTTTAGCAGGTACAAGCTGTAATGTCGCAGCTCTATTCTAGAAAAGGGGGCGGGGAGCAGCAGCTCATTTGTATTTAAAGAGACACGCCCGAAAAACAGCGCGTTTCTGCTTCCACTCAAAATAGGCATTTTCAAAATGATATAATAAATGATCTGTGGAGTATTTTGAGCTGAAACTTCACAGACACATTCTGGGGACACCCGAGACTTATATTACATATTGTAAAAAGGGGCATAATATGTCTCCTTTAAAGTGCTTTATTTGGGCTTTACACCCCAAAATAAAAAATATAAAATATTACAGATTACCAGTATTTATTTAAAATAATGTTAGCTGGTTCTAAGAAAACAATTTAAAAGAATTGGTTAACAGCCTGTAATACTGTCTTAAGTTATTAATTATATTTTGTCAACAGAAAAAGTTTCAAATATATCAGAAAAAATATCAGAATTGATTACATTATATTACTACCCTACATTGATCTTCTTAAAAATCTTTAAAAAAAATTTTACTGGTATTTTTTATTTATTTTCCTTTTATTTATTTATTTTTTCTTTGTATTTTGTCTTGGTTTGCTTGGAAAAATGTACAGAAAAGCAATGATGAATATGAAAACATCTTATGTATTAATATGTTGCATGATGTGACTTTTCCAAACAAATAATACGAATAAAAAAACATAAGTTCAAATCTACCTGCATCTGCTCCAGAGGGATCTCAAAGCTGAAGGACTCATTGTAGTAAGGGTTCAGTGTGTTCTTCTTCACCGTAGTCTTCTTCTTCTTTAGACGCTTGCCGTTCTGCAATAGCTGGATCTTCACATACGGGTCTGCAGAAGGTCAAATGTCGAGTTAATTGCATCAGACATATGAAATATATTTTACTGGTCTCATATATCTCAGCTTGTTTCTCACCAGACAGGCCGCCCACGTCCATCTTCTTCAGGTTCTTGGCTTCGAGGATGCAAACGGTCAGTTTGCCCGCAGTGGGAACGTAACGCAGAGAGATGCAGATGTCACCAAGCTTCTCCGGCTGTAAGAAGAAGATATCAATGGGTGATCATTTATGATTTGAAGGTACTGGTCCAAAGCATCTCTGCTTGCTTTCTTTTCAAATCTGTCTCGGATCAGTTAAAAATAGATCCTAATAGCAGATTCTTTAATAATCACCTCCTCTTTCTCAACACTATCCAGGTCTCTCCACTCCTCGATCGGCTTTCCCAGATCCAGAGTGTTCATGGGTAGCTTGACCTCACCGATGATATCGTGCTTGGAGAAGCGGTCATAGTCATACACAGACATGACCAGCGTCTTGCCACCCAGCTCCTCGTATGCGATCTAACAGGGAAACCATTGAGAAGAATCAACATAAATTATACATAAAGGTGTTTCAAACTGTTTATGCAGTGCTGAGTCATAAATCTGAGCATAGAACATATTGTCCTTTGAGGATTGTTATATATAGGAGATGCTTAGTTCTGCCATCGATAGACAGATAGAAACAGATTATTCAATAAATGTGTCTTAAAATATATTTTAGCAAATTAAAACAAAAATTAATTATTCTTATATATTAAAATATAATAAAAGTTTGTGAAGCAAAGCCTATAAACATTTATATTTATTTACAAAAGGAAATAGTGTAATATCTTAAAATATATTAAAAGTTTGTGACTTCATTTTTAAAATATTAAAATACAAAATTAATATTATTCTATAAAATTTGTATTAAATAATATATATTAAATATAATATGTGACCCTGGACCACAAAACCAGTCATAAGGGTCAATTTTTCGAAATTGAGATTTATACATCATCTGAAAGCTGAATAAATAAGCTGTCCATTGATGTATGGTTTGTTATGGTTTGGTGGCCGAGATGCAACTATTTGAAAATCTGGAATCTGAGGGTGCAAAAAAATCTAAATATTGAGAAAATCATCTTTAAAGTTGTCCAAATGAAGTTCTTAGCAATGCATATTACTAATCAAAAATTAAGTTTTAATATATTTACAGTAGGACATTTACAAAATATCTTCATGGAACATGATCTTTACTTAATATCCTAATAATTTTTGGCATAAAAGAAAAATCGATCATTTTGACCCATACAATGTTTTTTTGGCTATTGCTACAAATATACCCCAGCGACTTAACACTTAAGAAGTTTTGTGGTCCAGGGTCACATACCGGTATATTAAAAAGTGTGAGATTGTGAATCCAAACCATAAATGTTTTTGTTCACATAGTGTATCTTAAAATATATGAAATATGTGTGACTAATGTGAATTACAACTGATAAACATTTTTTTAAATATTAAAATATTAAATTATAATACATAATAAAATAGTATTGAAATTATAATGCATAATCTAACACTATAATATTTTACAAATATATTAAATGTTTGTGACTATGTGACTCAAAGCCTATAAACTTTCTTTAATTTGTTTTTATTTTTGTTTAAATATAAAAATATTACATTATAATAAATAATCAAATAGTATAATATATTAAATATGTGTGACTGTGAATCAAAGCCTAAAACTTATTTTTTTCAAATATTAAAATATAAAATATTAATATATAATCAAATAGTTTAATATCGCGTATATATATATATATATATATATATATATATATATATATATATATATATATATATATATATATTAGCATTTAAAAAAAACAATTACATTCAGTTTACAGTTAATTTTTCACATCGTTTGCATGAGAAAACCTCCTCCTCACTTGGCTTTGTTTTCTCTATCTCACTCATACAGTGTGCAGATACGACCGATCCATTTTTAGAAACACAGTCAGCCGTTCTCACTGTAAGGCAGGGGCTTTGAAGACAGCCAATTGTTCCTGTCCTAGATCACTTTTCTCCGAGTGAGACTATTAGAGCTCTACCAGTGTCCACCAGAGGATGCTCGGCCCCTCCGGAGCTCATTACTGACTCTGGGAAACTAAAGCTCATTCACAAGCTGCTGGAAGCAATAGGACCGAAATGCTGGTGTTGCAGAACACCGCCAATAAACACTAATGACAGACCAACAAAATGACTGACATTACAATGAGTCATTTTAAAATAATAAACAGCTTACCTTGAAGACAAAGGATTCGTTGAACACTGGGTTGAGGGTCTTTTTGTGCACCTTGGTGTCAAACTTCTTCTTCTTGTCTGGTAGGATGAACACTTTAACGTAAGGGTCGGACGTTCCGCCAGAGTCCATGGAAATCAGATCGGCACACTGCATGATTCCCACGGTCAGCTGTGAAAGAAACACAGAAGCAAGAGAAGAGACATAGTGAATGGAAAGAATATCTTGAAGAAATAATATTAAATCCCACATGTGATCTCTTTGGTACATTTTAAATGATATTAAATGGACAGCAAATAGTCTCCTGCTTCTCAGATTTTTCTTGAGAAATTTACACAAAAATTTGCCTTTGGGATGTGCTACCATTTAATAAATGACAGTACAGAAATGGCCGTGAAATGCCTGTCAGGCTTTATGCACTATTGTAAACTGAATTATAAACTGAAAGTCTTGTTTATAAAGACACGTTTTTTATAAAGAAATTAATACTTTTATTCAGCAAGGACACATTAATTTGATCAAAAGTGACAGTGAAGACACTAATAATGTTAAAAAAATAATAAATTCTGTAATATTGAAACATCTATTGTTTTTTTTCATAAAAATATGAAGCAGCATAACTGTTTTCAACATTGATAATAATAAGAACTGATTTCTGAAGGATCGTGTGACACTGAAGACTGGAGTAATGATGCTGAAAATTCAGCTTTGATCACAGGAATAAACTACATTTTAAAATATATTAAACTAGAAAACAGTTATTTGAAATTGTAATAATATTTCACAATATTACTGTTTTACTGTATTTTAATCAAATAAATGCAGCCTTGGGGAGCAGAAGAGACTTCTTTCAAAAACATTAAAAACTCTTACAGACTCTAAACTCTAAACTTCCACGCTACTGTTCCAGTGTAACAAAACTCTAGCAATATCATGTGGCTTTATGCATATTAAAACTGGATCTGTTTGCATTAAAACACATGGTAAGAATAACGGTTCACTGTCATTAACGCTTGTTTAAACCCATTTTGGTTGAGCCGTAAGCAACTTTACCTACAGCTGTGACTCAGCAGATACTAAGCCGTGCTATTAAACACCATCATTAGTGAAAGATACAGCGCAGCACGAGCACAAACTTTCTCAAAGATCATAATGCAGGGAACTTTTAAGAGATGTATTAGTTAAAAGAATAGTTCACCCAAAAAAGAAAAAAACTTTGTCATTGTTTACTCAGTCTCATGTTGGTCCAGACACAAACATGCTGTTATTTTTCAGTGGGACACAAACCGAGAACTCTTGAGAATCTTCTCAAAATTCCTATTAATTTCCCCAAGACTTTCGTACTTAATCATATAATTGTGTCCAAATGCATCTTGATATATTTTAATATGAGCCAAAATGAATAACTAACAACACGTTTCATTATCAAAACACAAAGATCATAATGCAGGGAACTTTTAAGAGATGTATTAGTTAAAAGAATAGTTCACCCAAAAAAGAAAAAACTTTGTCATTGTTTACTCAGTCTCATGTTGGTCCAAACACAAACATGCTGTTATTTTTCAGTGGGACACAAACCGAGAACTCTTGAGAATCTTCTCAAAATTCCTATTAATTTCCCCAAGACTTTCGTACTTAATCATATAATTGTGTCCAAATGCATCTTGATATATTTTAATATGAGCCAAAATGAATAACTAACAACACGTTTCATTATCAAAACAAAAAAAAGATGATAAAATGAGAAACAGAATCATAACACCTCTAAAAAAATAAAACCCTGCAGATTTGAAAAAGAGGCCTAAAATGCCCTAATTTGATGATGTTGAGTGCAAACAAAACTATGTGGGCCATTCTACAGAACTGGTCCAAAGTCAGAGTTGGAAACTTCCAAAAAACATTTGCATGTATGGAATATTTGTCCTCCCCCCAAATTTGTCACTACCGAAACACAGTAATAATAATTTAATTAGAAGGGTTATATTGACCTATTAAGATTTTGCTTACATCTACATTGTAAATATATACATTTTTTGCTATTTTCTTAACATTTCTTTCAAAGGTAAATTAAAAACAATTACATTTTTAATGATATTTCATGTGTAATATGAGATTTGTTGAATTTTGAATCCAATTTTTCTTTGTAAAAGGCAAAAAGTTGATCATATTGATTTCAAAGTTAAGGATTTATTAGTTTGAATATACACTGAGCCGAAAACTATCTTAACATACTAGTTGATAATTCAGTATACTTTATTTTTGGCAAAACATCCCATGTTTCGGTAATGACTGCACATTTTCGGTAGCGACAGTAACGCTTTGGTAGCGACCACATCACATTACAGAATTTTAACTCACATACTAAAAATATTAAAATACAAAAAAATCGCTTAACTGTACTAAAATTTTGTTTATTTCCCCAAAACATGAGGATCAATGTGTTCCCTTTTGTCACTACCGAAACAATGATGACATGTTTCGGTCGTGACTGTTTCGGTAGTGACAATTCAATGGTTTAAAGGGGTAGTTCACCCAAAAAAGAAAATTTTATGTTTATCTGCTTACCCCCAGGGCATCCAAGATGTAGGTGACTTTGTTTCTTCAGTAGAACACAAATTATGATTTTTAACTCCAGCCGTTGCAGTCTATCAGTCGTATAATGCATGGCAATGGTAACAAAATCTATGAGAGTAAAAAAAAACACCTCACGCATCGGATGCCGTGCGCGTACTCAAGGAAGTTGGACATAGTGTTGTATTAGAGGTAAAAAATGATATAAATACTGTTCGGTTTCTGGCACAAACCGATCGTTTCGTGTCTTAGGACATCAATGTGTCGTCACGAGCCGCAGGGTTTAATTTGGATTTGTCTGTGCATGTTTTTTTTACTCTCATAGATTTTGTTACCATTGCCATGCATTATACGACTGATAAACTGCAACGGCTGGACTTAAAAATCATAATTTGTGTTCTACTGAAGAAACAAAGTCACCTACATCTTGGATGCCCTGGGGGAAAGCAGATAAACATCACATTTTCATTTTTGGGTGAACTATCCCTTTAACTCCCCCAAAAAAACTAAGATGCCACTACCGAAACTCCACCACATGTTTAGGCAGTGATTGATTCAGTTGTGACAATTTTAGATACTCAGCTCAAAGATGCTAATCAGCACATGGTTAGCTAGCACAGTTCTGAATACATATTAAACTCGACACATAGTGGTACACATATTAAAACTAAATGTTATGGAATAACTCCCATAAAAGTGTGCTTAATTGCAGAAAAAAGGCGTTCGGTAGTGACTTTCCGTAAAGTTACAGAGATTGTTCTGTGAACACATTTACCTCAAAATGATGGGACCTATCTACTCACACCTTGTAGCTATGAGAGACGGGGACACAGGAATATTTCCTGATCATAAATTTAGGGGTGTAGTTAAAATCATTCTCGGCCAATGCACTAAAACATACACTGTTTTGGTAGTGACATGAAAAAGGCGGGACGCACTTTTTACATAAAGTTTCATAATTTACAAAGAAAATATAAAAAATATATATATTTTTTTATGCACTTTTTAAAAAAATCAAAAAGATACTTTTAAAAACAACAATGGAAAAAAATACAAAAATTATTTCATTATAATTTTCATAAATTGAAATTTAGGGGTTAGGGTTCGGGACAGCTACCTCCAAACTGTAAATACCAAATAAATTATGATTTTATATATATTAAGCTTATTAATATTTTAAATATTATTGTGGGTTTCAATAGATAATACAAGGATCTTAGTAAACATCTAAGATTTAAGAATACCTAAATGCTTTTTAAATGTGTTTTTTGGGCGTGGGACAGCATTTTGCACCAATTCTGTAGAATGGCCCATATGTATATATACTATATGAAATATATCAGCTATAATGCACTTCTCAAAATAACAGCAGTCAAATGTCAAAAGTTTTGTTTTTAACAACAAAAATAACAATAATCAAAAAGTATCATTTAACTCACAAGAAGCAAAAGAGTGGGAAAATATGTTCAATATGTTGGAAACACAGTCATGTTTGCATTTTCTTCTGTCACTGACCTTGAAATGAAGCATAAAATAGTGTCTTCAGAGTCATTCATACATGTGAAACTGGGCTGAGAATTGAATAAACAAGGAGTTGTAATCTGGCTCAGAGGAAGATGGTTTTTCTGCTGATTAAGGGACAATACAAGACTTCTTCACCTTAAATGATTGACGAAAGCAAAAATGCTACAAAATGCATCATATTTTGTGATAAAATGTGACGTGCTTTTGCCAAACAGCCTCTAGCTCTGGACTCAGCACCCCAAATTTAGTATGAAACAAATATTGGATTTCATTCAGCAGATATGATACTGGGCGATGTTATTAGTTTATATTGCAGCATGTGATGTCATTAATCTGACATCCTAACCTTGTTATCCTGGAAGTCGTAATCCAACGAATACTGAAGCTTTCCAAGTTTCTCCACTTCTTTTTCCTCTTCCTCTTTCTCCTCCTCCGTCAAACCAGTTTCTCCTTCTTCATCATCATCATCCTGGTGTTTCTGTAGGGCAAATGACAAATTGTTTTAGCGAGTCGATATCTGGGATGAAAGTATATCTGGTTCCGGTCTATAAGCATGCCACAAGCTCAGGGCCCGGTCAGTTGCAGTAAGGTTGGAGATGCTTTTACCTGGCCTGACCTACTGGTTATCTGCCATAGTGCACTCGGAGTATGTTGTCATTCAGGGCTGGATGTTGCAAATGACTCGAGTTCACAATTTTTATTGGTGACACTTTGTTCTGTTTGCTTATCTTGGCTTTCCAGAGTTGAATTTCTTCTTTAATACAATTACGTTTTGACTCTATATTCAAATTAGGTTTGGTAGTAACTGGAAAACTAGAGTTTTATTGATATGCATAATTTGGCATGCAAGCGTTTTCTCATCATCAGCATGATAAATTTAACTGTTCATCAGTGATACTCCAGGGAGCGAGTGATGACAGCAAATTTTTAAAGAAGAACAGACTCCTTTGTGCTATTCTTGGCGTATGAAATGCTGACATGTCGTTCTTGTGTGTTTCTGAACATCATCCAAACTGCAGGAAGAGAAAAAAAAACTATAATGTGCAGAATAAATTTTTTGTTTCCACAAATAGGTCACAATGCAGTGGCCTCAAAAAGTATTTGGACACTAACCACAATTCAAAATGTCTGAAAGTTATCGCATTACAACAAGGGTTTTCACCGTTATTAATTACTATCATTACCTATGAGAATATAGAACTACAGAATATTTTTTAAAAGAAATGATGCATCATTTGCATCTCAAATGCCACTTGGTTTGATATTTTGTTATCTAATACAATTACATAGAGACATTTGAAGTGTGGCTGAAGCGTCTAAATCGTTTTTGGGTTCACTTTATGTGAAGACGATGCATAACAGAATTATTACGCTATATGAACTGAATCTTTGTGCATTACATCTTGAGGACAATATAATTTAGGGCTTGAAATATGAACTAATTTACCCAGGTTTTTAAAAGAAATGTAAAAAATGAGGACTGTTAAACTGATTTAAAGATTTTTTGATAGATGTTTTAATGTGCCACCAAAAAAATTGTCACTCTCAAGTCAGTTCCTAACCATATCCATATAGCAACAAATTAAAGGGCACAGCAGAATATGTGCTAATATTAAAAACAAATTCTTAATTTCCATTTGCTTTTAAAAGAATTCAGTAATTCATATATTTTTCTTACATTAAACTGAATCATTTATATGATCACAGAACATGAGCTTAGATAGTTAAGGTTTACTGCTAGTTCTAGCCCCTGAGACATCAGGACTTTTAGTGCAGTTAAAACAGCCATGCCCTTTAACACATGCATTCATTGTGAGTCTTGTGGGTCGTCTCTTACTAACTGCAAACATCTTGCCAGTATTAGTGAGTTAATAATTAGTTATTCCATTCACACCTCCTACACAAGTACGACTATTTGTTATTGTATTAAGATCATTTTTGGTCCACTTAAGTGGGGTTTTCATTTGCATTGTAACTTTCCTTTGTTTTTAATTGTATTCTTGTCAAGCAGCAGGTACAAAAGGCTTAAAACAAGGAAGTTACAACAGCCATTCCATCCAATCCCACCCACGAGGTGCTAGCACTCAGCGACCAAACAGCTGTGCCGTTCATCCGTCCACCTACCGTAGCGCCGACGCCCATGAGCGTCAAGAAATGCGGCGCATTAGACACATAGCGGGAGGAAGGAGAGCAGAGAGAGAGGGAGAGGTTGAACTCACAACACACCAAAAAACAGAACCAAAGACAGTCTCAAGACAGTAAACAACACTAAGAGCACCATTGTGAGGAATGACACACTGCCAGGTTTCAGACATCTGTATGCATACAGGTTTGGAATAAAGTTCTGGCATTACGTTTTTAAGGATCAAACTATGAAATGAGTGTCTTCTGTATATCGAATGATATCTGTACATTTCAGTAAGACTGTAGATACAAATCTTTGGTATACTTCATTATGCCATCTTATGCTAAAGTAACAGGTTAACCAGAGTTGGGGGTAATGCATTACAAGTAACAAGAACATTTCAGAGTTACTTTTTCAAATAAGTAATGCAAGTTACTTTGTTTTCCCATTTATTCACTGACACCTCTCCTGTCCCCGTCAAAGAGAAATTGGGACTGAGGTGCAAAGGAAGAGGTACTTTCTTCAGCCTGAGGCTCAATAATTTCACTTTTGGTGTGAAAGTTGCCAAAAATACAACTTTTGTTTTTTTTTGTTAATAAAAATCAATAAACAACCCCGGCTCAAGTGACAAAAAGTAATGCAATGCATTACATTCCATAAAAAGTAACTCAGTAACATAATTAGTAACACAATATTGTAATGCATTCATTTTAAAAGTAACTTTCCCCAAAACTGAGGGTAACAGTATGTTTCTGGAAACTTTAAGTCTTTGTAATAATACACTGGGGTAACAAATTTAACATTATAGATATCGCTGACAAAATGCTACCATATCCACCTTATTTTTACCATAAGATTGGCCATTTGTAGAAACGTTATGTGTCTGGCTTCCGGTCTCATCTGCGTCCAGCTATTTTTAGCTGTGCAAAAAAGCTCTTTTTGCTGCTAGATATTGCAAATTGGTGTGTCTTTCCATATTATTTTAATGTATTATCTTAATTATGAACACACTGGCTTGTAGTGCAAACAGTTTTACCTTTTACTGCACTTTTGTTACATTTTCCTTTACATTTAGTCATTTAGTAGACGCTTTTATCCAAGGCGACTTACAAATGCGCACAATGGAAGCAATCAAAATCAACAAAAGAGCAATGATATGCAAGTGCTATAACAAGTCTCAGTTAGCCTAACACAGTACACGTAGCAAGTTTTTTTTATTATATAATAAATAAAAAGAAAACAGATAGAATAGAAAAAGAATAGAGCAAGCTAGTGTTAGAGGCCTTTTTTGCTTTTGTTAATAGTATAATAAATAAAAAGAAAACAAATAGATAGAATGTTAAGTTTTTTTTTTAAAGAAAACAAGCAGTAAATAAATAGAGTGCAAGTCTAAAAGGGACAAGTTTATGTTATCCTTCTAGTTATTTCCCTACGGCAGCTAATGAACCGGAAATCTCGCACATTCACAGAAAAAGGCTTACTTCCGTGTTGAAGAATAAGGTGGATATATATTGTTATCCTCAAAATGTGCATCCTTGCGAGAAAAGAAACTACCTGTAGTGCATTATAAGTGGAGATTTTCACTGACTCTTTTGTTGTTCAAACTGATTAATTAAAAAACAGTGATGCATTCAGCAACAAATTAAGTGACTGTCTTTAAGAGTGAGTCACTAAATCATTCGCTCAACCAATTAGTTCAAAAGCATTGATTTATTCACTGACAAATCAAGTTACCGTGTTTATGAGTCACTGAAACATTCAGTGACAAATTCATTCCCTGATTCATTCAGTGACAAATCAACTGAAGTGTTTGTATAAATGACTCATTGTGCTTTGAACTACAAGTTGTAACTGATAATATCGATTATAAAATGTAAGTTACTCAATATTTACTTCTTGTTTAATAATAAGAAACTATATTGCATTCACAATTGCACTGCTGGTCTGAATTCTGTAACATTATTTCATGATACATACTGTAACATAACATAATAATTAAAGCCACTCATTTCATAGAATGATTTTAAAACTCCTATCTTTTTATGATCGAAATCACATGAGCAGCACACTTGTTTTGGACCATCCAGTGTACCATTTCTCTTCAAAGAAAACAAAACACTCACATTACTCACAAACACAATAAAGAAAAGCATGAAGCTAATCACATAACAGACTCTCCTTCATTATCAGTGCAACACACACTAAAGTGGTCTGAGGCTTGTTTTCATTTCTTAATGATGCAACACTCATTTTTGTTGATGTGCCCAGTTAATATAGAAGTTAATATCATCTAGTTTTAATACTAAAATCAGATTGAAGTGTGCATCAGTTGTTTTAGCTGCATTATGTAACTGTCATGTTGGGTGCAACTGAACACTCTGTTACATACATCTCCACCCTGCATGTCCTTCATGTTGAAGCCGTCCTTTCCCTTTTTGCCTTTCTTGTTCTTCTTCTTCTTACAGCAGCATTTCTTAATGATACAGAAGCAGCAGGTGAGGATGAGGAGGGAGGCCACTACAGCGATGGCGATGAGTGCCCATGGAGGCACTGCAGAGCATCATGGGATAAAAATTCAAGACATTTATTTAGAAGATGGGTTGTCACCAAGAGTGTGAAGGGTGTGAAGGGGATTTTTTTTAACATGTCAACCAAAAAGGATGAAGAAAATTATGACATTTTAATGAAATATTACAAATACAAACATGTTTTCAACAAAAAATTAAATAGTGAATTGTGACTGCATGTTAAATTGAAGGAGTAAAGCAGATCACGTTAATGGTATAGTTCACCCAAAAATGAAAATTGACTGAAAATGTGCTCACCCTCAGCTCATCCAAGATGAGATCTGTTCCATGGGAACAGATTTGGAGAAATTTAGCATTACATCACTAGCTTACTAACGGATCCTCTGCAGTGAATGGGTGCCGTCAGAATGAGAGTCCAAACAGTCCATAATCTATAATAACGCTTCCTCCAGTGAAAAAGATCATCCCCTGTTGTCCTCTTACATCAAAGTCCTCCCATATATTTGTTTAGATCTGTTTTGGACAGTTCTCACTTGTAAACGGTGCTTGATCTGTGCATGTTTCTCTCCTGATTCAGACAAGACAGCTTTTTCGCTTGGACTGGAGGGGTGTGGATTACCTGTGGATTATTGTGATGTTTTTATCAGCTGTTTGGACTCTCGTTCTGACGGCACCCATTCACTGCAGAGGATCCATTGGAGAGCAAGTGATGCAATGCTACATTTCTCCAAATCTGTTCTGATGAAGTGAGTAAATTCTTAACAAATTCTCATTATTGAATAAACTATTCCTTTAAGTTGCTCTTTATTGCATTGCGCTTCTACTGTAGTTCAGAAAGAAGGTAAGCTTGGTCAGATATCTAGGGGCCTGACAATTTGGCCAGCATTTAAATCCATAACACATCTTCAGCATAATGATACACTATCGATTTTCTTGATTGACTGTAAAACATCTCTGCAGGACTTACATGGGATTTTATCGATCTCATTGAGGAACTTGCTTTTGATTTCCTCAAAGACATCATTCTTGTTGACGGGCCCCTCAGACTCGGTGGAGTTGTCCGCAGGTGTGGAGACAGCGGGGGCCATCGTCATGGTGTGTGACGGGTGGGTGCCGCCAGGTCCCGTGGGCTCCGGGCCCACCATGGCTTCTGGCTTCTTTTTGAAAAGGTTCCACTTCATGATCTCTGGCTCGACCACTCAGGATATATGTTCTGTAACAGAACATATATTGAAGTCTGGAATGCTTTTTGATCTTAAGGATGATAAGAGCAACTGTAGCCTTCAAAAACATCACCATCTTTTATGTAGGAAGTACGAAGTCTGCAGCATAAAAAAAAAGAAAACTCAAATGCAATTTTCGCAGTATATTTAGTATTATGAGAAACTTCAAACCAAGAGCTTCTTCTTGAATAAAAAACAAATAAGCGCAAGTAAAAAGAAAACAAGGCTGAGACCTCTCAGAAGCGTTTTAATAACGAAATGGATGGTCTTGCATTTAAATAATGAAAGGGAGAAATAAAGCGTCAGAGCTTCAGGCCGTTAAAGGATGCGGTGCAAGATAAACCGCACTGTAGGACAAAACACAAGACAGTTTGTCCTGGGACGACTCAGTGCCTTTGACTTGTTCTGGTTCCTGTACATTTTGCACAAATTTTCCTTTAGGTTATTAAAACAGGACTATTCCTCACATCACCTAGAACATCCTTGTATGGGAAAGAATTCTGTCTCTGATTCGACATTCACTGCAGCATTCACCTCCAAAATGTCAGATAATATCTGCTGTCACTGCAGATAGCTTCTCACAACCTTGTGAATGAAAACCCATAAAACTTATGACTTTAAATGAGGGTAGCGCTGTTGGCAGGTTGAACATTCTGTGAGATAATATTTCAAATGAAATGAAACAGCAGAACAATGCTGTCTTAACAAGGAGCTCTGATATGTGTGGAGATAAATATGTGGATTAAATGATAAATAAAGAGGTCTGAAACTAGATCCTGGATTTATTATTGCTGGTGGATAGACACAGCAATAACTAAACACTTTGAGTGTTTACACAGTTGAGTTAAAATATTAAAACAAATCTTCAATAAAATTACAATTATTTTTTTAAATATTAAACTAATAAAATGTTAAAATAATAAAATCTATTTTTAAAAGAACGGCTTTTGATCAAGCAAGAGTTTATATGCAAACATACAAGGACGTTAACAAAAATCACACTATTGAGTAGGTTTAAATTATCGAAGTGCTAAGAAAAGGATTGTTTTAAATGACATTAATGTATTTTGTAAGCTTTGAATGACAAAATGCATACTTATTATTAGTGGTTGACTGATATGGGTTTTTCTATGATTGATGCACGTACTGATACCTAGAGATTTACTTTAGCTTTAGCAAATGACACGTGAACAAAATTGCTCACACACTACTAATTAACAAATAAAGGGATAGCTCACCCAAAAATGAAAATGTGATGTTTATCTGCTTACCCCCAGGGCATCCAATATGTAGGTGATTTTGTTTCTTCAGTAGAACACATATGATGATTTTTAACTCCACCCGTTGCAGTCTAACAAAATCTATGAGTGTAAAAAAAACATGCACAGACAAATCCAAATTAAACCCTGCGGCTCGTGATGACACATTGATGTCCAAACACACGAAACGATCGGTTTGTACCAGAAACCGAACAGTATTTATATCATATTTTACCTCTAATTCACCACTATGTCCAACTGTCTTTTGGCGCGCGCACGGCATCCGGTGCGTGAGGTGTGTACGCGCTCTTTGGAGATTGGAGTTAAAAATCATCATATGTGTTCTACTGAAGAAACAAAGTCACCTACATCTTGGATGCCCTGGGGGTAAGCAGATAAACATCACATTTTCATTTTTGGGTGAACTATCTCTTTAAGGTCTCTGTGCACTGGATAAAAACAAAAGATTCAAGATTAGTTTTGTTTTTTTGTTAATAAAATGGCACTGAAATGCACACACGAATCAAAGCGAATCTGCGTGTTTATATGTGAGTGTTTCTTCAGTCAGTTGAAATCAAGCGTAGCGTTAGTTCTGGCAGATCACGTTAGTCAAGCTCGCACCAGCTGACCTTCAGCTGATCCCCATCTACCTATGGGAATACGACACCTATCTAAGCATTCATATATAAGGTCCCTCAGTATTATCAGCAGTTTTCGCATCGCTCAACAGCTAATTACCCTCCTCCATCCCCAGCTCCTCCTCTGTCAGTCGGGATTCAGCCTTCTGATTCTCCTTGAATCAGACTAATTCTAAAATGTGTACATAAAATGATTGAACAATACATTTATGTTAGTTCTGTTCTGTTTACCCTGGGTTTTTTTGCAGCTCTCCCTGCTCTCATCCATGCTAGGCTGCATGGAGGCGCAGGGAGTTCTTGCCTAGAACGGAACCATACCACCAATCCAAACTGTATGCTAATTGTCAATCATCTTTGACGATAGTGGTCCTGACAGAAATATTATATATGGTCTCTGTCACAGCATTGGCTTCTGATTTCTAGGATTTTCAGCATTCTGCTCTTGTATCTGAACTATGCTTGAGATGATTGCCTCCTTCCTCGCCAACCGCCAATAAACAACCATAAATACTAATCAATACCAATCTAAACAAAGCCAGCTATTGACTATCATTTGTTCTCTGTTCTTCTCTGAAGGAATCAAATGGGTTTGATTTAGCAAATGCACAGCTCCCTTCCAATCCATGCTGGATAAATCTTCAAAATGACAAGATCCTCAGCCTCCATCCTTCAATACATGCAAAACCAATCTGCACTATTTAGGTGGCAATCACTGATGAGACCAGCATTTGAGGGGTTGCATTGATTTTCTGGAGTAGCTCGACATCTATCCGCTCTCAGCCACCGCAGAGCTCACCTGCTGCGTGCCACTGACATTTGCGCTCAGAGCTGCTTTATTGACTGACAACGCTGTGTCACCATCTCTGTTCCTCAAGAGTAAAGCATGTGATAAAAGCGCCCTTTACACGCTCACACCCTGATAGTCATGAGGACGCTCCGCCATGCCTTGTGTGTATAAGGGGCTTTTGATCAGTCTGGGGGGGCTTGGCAATTTTCTCAATACAAATTTCAGAACTCTTCAGTAAAGCCTTGAACTAAAAAAAAACAGCTCTGTGATTAATTACAACATATCAAACTTCAAATCAAAGCAATAAATAAATACATTAAAATAACTAACTAAACTCTAAAAAAAAGTATATATGAAATATTATGTATTCAATATTATATATTAATATAGTATTATATATATATATATATATATATATATATATATATATGTGTGTGTGTGTGTGTGTGTGTGTGTGTGTGTGTGTGTTTAATATAATAATATAAATTATATTCATATATTATATTAAATACATTTCAAAATATCTGATTACATGTTATAATATTATATTTTTTAATAATATAATATATATTTTATTAACCTTTGATATAACTATTTGATTATATATTATAATTTTATATTTTAATATTTAAAAAAAATAATAATAATATGCTTGATTGATTTGGATAGTCACAAACTTTTAATATCTACTGTTTGATCATATCTGTCTATCGGAAAAACAGAAACTGATCAAATATATAATATGAATTGCCTGTAAGACACACAGCCAAATTCATGAAATGTACATGCAAATGCTGATTATGTAGGGTCGGAAGAGGCTGAACACTGGAGATGTGATCGGTCTGAATTGTGGAGACAAATTAATTTACAGCTCGCTCTAAAAGACAAGCGGACAGAACTGGGATACGCGGTCAGTCGGCGCATGGGGTTTCACCCTGATTATGTGTGTCTGCGACGAGGACACGTGCTGGATTTAGACATACATTCATCTAGATCACGACCGACCTGGAAACAGAAGAAATTGAGAGAAAAAGAGAAAAAGAGACTGCAGAGTGAGAATTTGCTTCTGTTGGTGTGGAAAAACCAGAGAAACATATCCATGAGGAAATCAATAAGGTTAGAAATTGTATCTGCTATAAAGCAAATCAAATTATAGGTAAAGCTACAAGCAGTGATCTTTATGTGCTCTGTCACTGATATGCTGTTATTTTATGTACTTCTTAACTGCCTTAAAGACCCTGTTAGCATTCGAGCTCTCCTGAGAAACATCCTCACACAATCAGAGAGCTTCATAAACGTCTCGTCTTATGAATGGAGACAGATAGTCACATTTGCTTCACTGGCACAGCCGCTAGCATGACGACTATCCTCACGCAATAACTGATGACATCCATTTACAGTAGTATCTACACCCTTGGCAATGCCATCTGTACTGAAGAGCCTGCTTATCTCAGAGATCTCAAGCTCTCAACACCTCCACTGCATCTCAATGAAAAGCTGTTTCTGGAATATCTGCAAAGGGTTTTCTCCTGAGGAGATCTGTGATGGACAGTCCTGCAAATCCTGAAAAGAGCCAGATTATAGAAAAATCAATAACCAGTCCAGTAACCCAGCAAAGCAACACTACCCATCTGAAATAACCGCCACAGCTGGTCACTACCATATGTAGTTTTCGCCTACTTAGACAAAGAAAAGATTGTTCAAGTAACGTGTAAAAGCAGAGTTTTTTTTTTAAACATGACATTTAGGGACAGATTTATCTAAATATGAAAAAATAAAATATAATAAAATTTTTAAAAGTCCATGACCGGCTAAACATGAGAGGAAATATATGTAAACTTTCTGATTATACAATAATAAAAAATAAAATAACATAAAATAAATTAAATACATAGATTTTACAGCAATGTCAGTCCATGAATATCTGTACAGAACACATCAAAAAAAGAGAGAGGAAATATATGTAAACTGTGTGATCATATAAATAAATAAAACAAATAAATACCTACTTTTACAGCAGTGCCAGTCTATGAAAACGTCAAAAATAAATAAATAAATAAACAAACATAAACATACGGTGGTGTGTTGGCCCTCTTCCTGTTTTTAAAATTTTTTGCATATTTGTCACACTTAAAAGATTCACGTAGGGCCACGTAGGTTTGGACAGCTTTTTTCCCTTAATAAATGAAATCATCATTTAAAAACTGCATTTTGTATTTACTTGCATTATCTTTGTGTAATATTTAAATTAGTTTGATGATCTGAAACATTAAAGTGTGACAAACATGCAAAAAAATAAGAAATCAGGAAGGGGGCCAACACTTTTTCACACCACTGTATAAAATAAAACAAATATAAAAATAAAATAAAATCTAATTTTACAGCAGTCAGTCTGTGACCAGCTGTACTGAAAATAAAAGTTTGTAATCGCAATCTTCACCAATTCAAAACTTGGAAAGTACAGTAAAGTACGAAAATACAGTTCAAAACTGTATATATATATACGTATATATAAATATATATATATGGTATCTTTCAAAGATTTAATGCAGCTAATCTTAACAAAACTTCTGCAAATGTAGTAAAGAAATTAGTTAAACTAACATAAACCAGCCTGGACAGATGTAGAATTAATTTCAGCAGAGTAAAAACAACTTTCACTCTGCCTCAAATATATGTAGCTTCAATTAAGTGGGATAAGACTAGCAATTGATTTGTTCTTTTGTAGTCGTTTTGTACATCTTCTACATCAAGTAACTTGATCTTCAGGGCTTCATGCATTCATGTCCCGCTTCAAACTCACTTCTGAAATCAGGGAGAGAAGGCAAACTCTTCATGATGCAGCAGGTGAAACGAAAACAACCTGCTATTGTCCGCGCTAACAACTATTGAACAGCGTGAAAAATGGGTTGGGGGTGGGTTTGCAGAAATGGGAAAGCCCTTACCAGGCAATAGTTCTGTCCTCCCTAATGGAGCCACCCATCCAAAACGGGAGAGCAGCACAGGCTAGAGCGCATCCACACAAGCTGAAGTCCCCCTCACTGCAGTACAGTCTGAGTCTCACTGCCGCACACTCCAAGCTCTTTCATTAGACACAAACCTCCCTCTCTCAACTTTACCTCACAGTCTCTCTATCACTACCTTTGAACTCTCTTCTGTTCTTCCGTCCCGTTTAGCGTTACTATCTCTCTTCCTGTCCTCTCGTTGTCTCTTGCTCTCATTATGGATTCTGCTCACACTCGGCCGAATGCAGTGTGCTATGCCCTGAGCCGCTAGTGGAGGACAATCTCCACTGATCAATATGTAAAATCGTCCCCCCCTCAGGGTTTGGCTGCTGAAATGTCAGGGGGAAACTGTCCAGGTGTGCAGTGAAGCTTGTGCTGTGTGGGAGGGAAGCAGAATAACAAAGACAATACGATGCAATTTCTCATGCGCGTCTCACGGGGCCGGTCCGTAATAAACCAGGAGATGTGCGGTACACAATCCTGAGAGGAGAAACAAAATGAAGAAATCTAAAGTACGTGTGGCGCGGTTACTGGCAACTACGTGACATTTTGCAAGACATTATGTGTCACATTATTATGAAAATATTCATAAAAATAGCCATGGTTACAGCTAGTCCTGACATTTTTGAAGGCTACTGTTCCTGGGGCAAAGTGAATGGCAGGCAAGATTGTTTTACTGCATGAGAGACTAAATATAATGGGATTTAAACTAACAGGTAAATAAGCTAGCTTTTATATTGTATCACATTACATTTTACACTGGTTCTTTCCTGTGTAAAAAACTCACTGACATGATGTTAGGACATTGTGGATGGCTGTTAGGGTGTTGCTAGGGAGTTTTGGGTGGTTGCTAGGTGGTGTCTCACTGTATTGCATGAAAAAAGTCCTGCACTAGCAGGTCTCTGTGATTTCTGGTCTCTAGGTATGGCTTGTGTCCCTTCTTTAATGTGTGCCTAGGGGATTTTCTGCCTGTTTTATCATCTGCTAGGCGAAAATCGCACTGATCTATTTAAAAAAAATAACAGCACAACTCTCCTAAACAAATTGCACAATTCGAGGTGTCATTCATGGCTGTAAAACAAACAGGATGAGTTACATTAATCATCAAATCCCTATGTACAATTTGAGCAGTAGTAGCAATAGCCAACACTATAGAATACCCAAGACATGTCACTCATATAGTTTTGAATGGGGAAAAATGCTACACTCAATATGGCTGCTCTATCGAACGAAGCCCCGCCTTCTGAGCAAAAGAGCCAATCGCTAATCAGTAAAGACAGCGCGTCACTGCAGCTGCCGTTAGAAGTCCCGGTTGCTATAGAAACTCGAACGTGTCATTAGAACGAGGCATTTTAGGTAGGCGTGGTTGACTCTTAACTTTTATAAAGAATATCTCTTTGGATTTGAGACTTTAGTCTTTGCAACTTTACAGATCTTCTTCATGCACCAAGAGCTTGTAACCCTTACCAGGCAATAGTTCTGTCCTCCCTAATGGAGCCACCCATCCAAAACGGGAGAGCAGCACAGGCTAGAGCGCATCCACACAAGCTGAAGTCCCCCTCACTGCAGTACAGTCTGAGTCTCACTGCCGCACACTCCAAGCTCTTTCATTAGACACAAACCTCCCTCTCTCAACTTTACCTCACAGTCTCTCTATCACTACCTTTGAACTCTCTTCTGTTCTTCCGTCCCGTTTAGCGTTACTATCTCTCTTCCTGTCCTCTCGTTGTCTCTTGCTCTCATTATGGATTCTGCTCACACTCGGCCGAATGCAGTGTGCTATGCCCTGAGCCGCTAGTGGAGGACAATCTCCACTGATCAATATGTAAAATCGTCCCCCCCTCAGGGTTTGGCTGCTGAAATGTCAGGGGGAAACTGTCCAGGTGTGCAGTGAAGCTTGTGCTGTGTGGGAGGGACGCAGAAAAACAAAGCCAATAAGATGCAATTTCTCATGCGCGTCTCACGGGGCCGGTCCGTAATAAACCAGGAGATGTGCGGTACACAATCCTGAGAGGAGAAACAAAATGAAGAAATCTAAAGTACGTGTGGCGCGGTTACTGGCAACTACGTGACATTTTGCAAGACATTATGTGTCACATTATTATGAAAATATTCATAAAAATAGCCATGGTTACAGCTAGTCCTGACATTTTTGAAGGCTACTGTTCCTGGGGCAAAGTGAATGGCAGGCAAGATTGTTTTACTGCATGAGAGACTAAATATAATGGGATTTAAACTAACAGGTAAATAAGCTAGCTTTTATATTGTATCACATTACATTTTACACTGGTTCTTTCCTGTGTAAAAAACTCACTGACATGATGTTAGGACATTGTGGATGGCTGTTAGGGTGTTGCTAGGGAGTTTTGGGTGGTTGCTAGGTGGTGTCTCACTGTATTGCATGAAAAAAGTCCTGCACTAGCAGGTCTCTGTGATTTCTGGTCTCTAGGTATGGCTTGTGTCCCTTCTTTAATGTGTGCCTAGGGGATTTTCTGCCTGTTTTATCATCTGCTAGGCGAAAATCGCACTGATCTATTTAAAAAAAATAACAGCACAACTCTCCTAAACAAATTGCACAATTCGAGGTGTCATTCATGGCTGTAAAACAAACAGGATGAGTTACATTAATCATCAAATCCCTATGTACAATTTGAGCAGTAGTAGCAATAGCCAACACTATAGAATACCCAAGACATGTCACTCATATAGTTTTGAATGGGGAAAAATGCTACACTCAATATGGCTGCTCTATCGAACGAAGCCCCGCCTTCTGAGCAAAAGAGCCAATCGCTAATCAGTAAAGACAGCGCGTCACTGCAGCTGCCGTTAGAAGTCCCGGTTGCTATAGAAACTCGAACGTGTCATTAGAACGAGGCATTTTAGGTAGGCGTGGTTGACTCTTAACTTTTATAAAGAATATCTCTTTGGATTTGAGACTTTAGTCTTTGCAACTTTACAGATCTTCTTCATGCACCAAGAGCTTGTAACACTCCAGAGAGAAAGGAAAACATCGTCACTAAAGTTTATAAATTGCATTTCTTTTTAATTCTTGCCAGTGTTCAACCATTCAGCGCTCGCGCGCTCTCCTGGAGACTGAGTGCTCATGCACACTGGCAGTGCACACACATAATGCCAAGTTCACACACACTCCATTTGCAGTGCGTATGCGGTGCATATTTTTTCCACGCTCATGTTAACGGATTAATAAAGCGTTCACTGCACAAGGTTACGGTCCAGCAGTGTGTTCCAGTAGCGGCGCGTCTGCAGCAGTGCAGAGATCGTTTCCGCACCGAGTCCATTGCTGCGCTGCAAGTGCTGAATTAAAGTAACAGCGCATTGTTTGCAGTAAATATGAATATGGATTGACACGAAAATGTAGTAATTACACCATAAATGCATATTATTAAAGTCTACTGTGTTTCACAGTCAACACGTATGGCTTGTTGGCTAGTTTCAAAGGAAAAGAGCACTTTTAGATAAACAAGGCAATAATAGATGGCACTCGTGGAGGTAGGAAAACAAAGTTCTTTATGAACCGCAGGATTGCTTGTAATAAAGATTTCAATGCAAAAGAAAAGGCAGTAGAGCTGACTATTTCTGTCAATGGTAAGTTCGTGATAACGTAAGAAAAGTAGTTTAAATGTTTTGCCAATTGCTTGAGCAACTTAATATATAAATCTAGAA